GTGCACAAAGACGGGCCCGGCTCGCCCCCGGCTCGCACATGGCGACCCAGATGGGATCGGGAGAGAACTCGCACATGGCGACCCAGGTGGGATCAGGAGAGGGCCCGCACACATACCAGTTCAGGCCAAGCATAGCAGCCCAGCATCTGTTGCTGCTTTCTTCCCTCCATCTCCACTGATGCCCTGGGGGTAGGGCAAGGCTGGTGCAAGCACCACCCCTGTGTGAAAAATTAACACTTATGGAACATAGGGTGTCTTTACATGTGCTCTGGGGTAGCAGGGAGCACTTTAATTAGAGTTCACATTGGAGCTGGCATCAGACATATGTATAGGTGCTCACAAGTTCCCTAACGTTCTTTAAAGCAGAGCACCATAATCTGTTACCTGATTAGATGAGAGTTAATTTTCTGCACAATCAGCTGTTTTACAAATGCTCTGCAGCCATGCATATATGTTAAGTCATGGCTGTAGAGCACTTTCAGGGGTCAGATCATGCAAAAATGTCACTTCTGTCTGCACCCTAAGTGTGAGGCATCTACTTTGTACATAAGATTCACATTCACGTTTTTTATTATTAAATAAAACATAAATAAAAATGTACATTAAAGACAGTAATACTCATCACATTTACAACTTAGATAAAATGCCTTTTCCATTGTAATTTTTTTTTTTGGTGTTTTAGTAATCTTAGGCTGAAACTTCATAGACGAAATATGAGACAGGATACAAACAGTATCCAGAAAAGTAGTTATTATTTCAGCTGTTATGCACATACTTTAATTATGTTAGGGTTGTGTTAAAGTATGACCTGTAAAAGCAAGAAAATTAAAGTTAGTTAAAAACTGTGTGCGCCCGCCTGGCCTCGAACATTTTGTTTCGTGCCTCTCTGGTTCGGGTGCCTACTGGAATCCGCCCTGCCATTGCAGGTGATCTCTTCAGGAGGTATTTACCCGTGTCGCAGTCCACCCCCTTCTCACCTGCCACAACTTTGAATCTTCCTTGGGGGGGGGGCTTAGTACTGCGTGATCTTCCTCGCTGACCCCTCGTTCCTCCGGCGGTCTTCTGCGAGGCTCCACCTCCCCTCTACCTCGCCCTATACCCAGCCTGGTGGGCCACTGTTGGTCCTGCAGCCAATCTTGTGCACCACTGGTGCCTTTCAAGCCACAACCGCTCTGCTACTCTCTATCTCAACCCCTCCAGACATGGGGTAACAGAAAATATTCTACCGCAAAAGAAAACGCAAGAAAATCGCCACCACCAACACCGTGCGCTCCAAGTGTACGGAAGGAACAACCCCGTGCTCCTATCTGGCTACTAGGGCCCTTCCTGCTTGCCCAGCCTCTGGCTTGGTCCCTTCAGCCCCGAATACCGGTGCCCTCTCTCAGGATCCTCACACTGGTGTGACCCTCTCTCTGGGTTTTCACACTGAAGTGGCCCTCTCTCTGGGCCTTCACACTGGTGTGACCCTCTCTCTGGGTTTTCACACTGGACTGGCCCTCTCTCTGGGCCTTCGCACTGGCGTCGCCTCTCTCTGCGTCTTCACACTGGCATCGCCTCTCTCTGGGTCTTCACACTGGCGTCGCCTCTCTCTGGGTCTTCACACTGGTATGACCCTCTCTCTGAGGATTCTCAAAATGCTACCCACTTTCCCGGGGCTTCTCCATAATACTGCCCTCTTTCTGGGGCTTCTCATTAATGCTGCCCTCTTTCTGGGCTCTTCAATATAATCGTTGCCCTAGGGGTATATCCTCGGGTCCCCAGGGTCCCTCCATGGATGCACCTGTTTGAATGTTGTAGGGAGGGCCGGTGCCTCTCTCCTCCCTGCGGAGTCTCCTAGGCTCGGGATTCCTCCAGCCTTGATCTGTCCCTGCCTTTTCCTGCACCAGGGCTCCTGCCTCGAGTGTGGCTTTACCTTCACTGCCATTCGCGGCTTCACCTTCGCTGCATGAGGTGTTAGATCCGCCTCTGCTGGGGATCGCTGTCTCTCGCTCCTCCCCGAGCTTCCGGCAGACCCTGCTGATGGGGAATCCCTTCGGCCTCTCTCCCCCCGCCTCTTTGTGGGCCGTCCTTTTTATCCCTGCTGGCCAGTAATTGCTGCTGACGTCACCGACCGGCCGCAGCCGTATGAAAGCACAGCTAAATGATCACGCGGGTTCTTGCCAGTGTTCCTGTTTTGCTGCCGGTCTTGCTGCAAGTAAGTATTCTTTTTTTACTTTAACTTTTCCTGTACTTCCCTCGTTTTCTGGTCCCAGGGTTCCCCTTTTAGGTTTTAGGGTTCCCCCCCCCATTTGTCTCCCTGTCACACTGAGATTTATATCCCAACTTCATTCATACCATTGTGAATGGAGAGCCTAGTTACCTTACAACAACAAAACTCCCGTGGATGTAAAGATCTGGGGAAGAACCTTTAATGATACGGCATTGTACCTTAATACAAGTCTGACTAAAATGCAGGACAGGACACATACATTTGAAAACACACTAACATGAATTCAACATATGTTCATCAAGGTTCACACTAATATTTAGTTTTTAATATGACTGTGCTTGATTTTTGTATCTTTTGAAATAAACTGTTGTGATATGTCAAGATATAAGAATGCACTGTCATCAATAGTGATCAAGACAACTGAAAAATAGGCATTTACTAGCTGAGAGAAGACACCCAGCAGATACCACTTATAAAATGGCTCACTTAATGCTTCAGCTAGTTTGCTCTGTCACATTGAAAGGGT